TCATTAATTAATTATTAATTTGCAATAAATGATAACCGTTGATTGGCATAAATCAACGGATAAGATATGATTGTAAGATCTTGTAAAAGAAAATAGATTATAAGTATAATCTTCCTTCTATCTATGCTAAGATTGTTTTACAAAAGTAATATCAACGAGGTTAGTTACATTAATAGAACAACTGTTCTCAAAAGGACAACAACAACAACAAAAAAAGGCAATCGACAATCAATTTGATATATACGTACGCTGTATCATTGTTCCTTGCAAAATTACATTTCGAATGAATAGACTAATTTTAGAATCCAAATGGTTTTTATGAATTGCCATAAACGAAAAATTTCGAAAGAAAAGCACATTTCAAGCTTCAAAAGTGAAGTATATATTGAACTCTATTTTAGAAATATTTGCATCAAGGCTGGCTAAGGATTCCATCAAAACTTCATATTTTGATCACCAATTTTTATGTAACTGATCAATCCGCTGATTTTTTATTTTTTATTTTTTGAAATGATCCGCTAATATTTGATCGTGTGCTGACATTGAAGACCATAATTCTATTGAGAAGAAAACAAAGATGGAAAAATAGTGGAAAATAAAAGGTAATTGGGAAAATTATATGTGCCCGTAAATAATAGAAGAAAAATATTTTCAATTTGCAATATGGTTGCCCTTAATTGCAGATACTATACGAACGTGAACGCAAATTTCGTACTGTATCAGCGGATGTGTAATGAATTATCTCGGGTGTCAATATAGGTTTTGACACGTGGGTCGATCCGCGACACGACATGAAAATTCGTGTTTGGGTTGATCCGCAAAAAAATTCGTGTTTAGGTTGACCCGCAAAAAAATTCGTATCGTGTTCATGTTGAAAAAATGACACGTAAAAAATTCGTGTCGTGTTCGTGTTGATGTATTCGTGTTCGTGTCGACCCGTATTTTTTTAAAATTATTATATTTTTAATTTATTATTATTATTATTTTAAATTTTTTTAATTTCGATCCATTTTTTTAAATTTTTTTGTCAATTACTATTTTGACCTTTATTTTGCGTGTTATTCGTGTCGTGTCGTGTCAACCCGCAAAAAATTCGTGTCGTGTCAGTGTTGAAGATTTTGACACGAATAAAAATTCGTGTCGTGTCGAATTCGTGTCGTGTCAACCCATTTTGACACCCCTAGAATTACCACCCTTAATTCTCATTTTTGTATATTCATTATTTTATTTTAATAAAAAGAGTATTAGGTCTCCATAATTAAACTTTGATCCTTTTCCAATTGAGACTGCCAACATTAAAGTAATAATGAGTCTTTAAACTTTTATTATCGTTTGGATAATAAATCCTAGCATTAAAAGTTTGTTAATTCATTAGTGCCACGTGACAACATCTTATCCATCCACCTACATTAAATATTCTGAACAATTGAATAATTTGTTATGTAAAATCTTGATTTATGACATTTTCAAAACATTCTAAACTAAAAATAACAAACAACAATGGCCACCATACAACACAAAGCCACCAGGCAGCCCCACAAGATTCTCATAAATGGTTTTTGAATGAGGTCCTTGCAAAGAACAATTAATGGAAATATAGAAGACACCAAGGGTAAAACAATCTATAACTAAAATTCATTAAAAATGAGAAGTTCCATGATACAACTTTCTTCATTATGCAAAGGATAAAAAAAGAAACTTTTGCCTTATTTAATACAGTTTTTAAATTTTTTACCTTACTAAATATAAATTCAAAATATTTTATTAAAATCATACGATGAGACATCTCATACGCGTTTAAATTGTGTAAAGGTGGATGTATTTGTGCAGGGGACGAATCTGCATTCACGACGTGACGAATCTGTATTATTTTGATCCTCTTGACTTATATTTGTCTGATAAAATATTTCAAATTTTGCATTAAATATGTTAAATGCGTTAAAAGAGAAACTCAAGAGAGAGAAAAATCAAAGAATATCAGAATAAGCAACATAGATCATGTTTGAATTTTCTTTTCAAAATGGTTTTTTAATTTTTAGAAAAAAAAATTGATTGATAATGCCTGTTTTATAAAAAATAATTCTAAAAATCATATCTGTTTTTAGTTTTTAAAATCAAATTAAAAGAACATATTTCAATTTTTTCTATTTTGCGTTTTATTTTTTTAACTTTCAAAAAAAATTTGCTGAAAATACTTATTTCATTGACTATTTTATAAAATAATTTCAAGAATAAACAAATAACACTATTAAACAGACACCTAGACTTGTCTGAGATTCTAATTGGGGAATGTTTTTTTTATACGACAATGGTATTGAAAATTATAAGCAACAGTATATTTTACATTATGTCTTATCGATAAGACATAATATAAAGTACAAAAATATCTTTTTTTTTCTCTTTTCGATATAACACAAACTAACGTGACGCGCTCTTATTGGCCGAATGTACATCGACGGTGGTATTTAAAAAATTTCCCTAATTGGGGTTCTTGTTGAGTCTATGGCGCTAGGCGGTTCCATGGCCTGTAGGTGTTGCAGTGGTTTTTGGGTTCGTGAATAGGTAGTGTGCCACCGTTAATGAGATGAATGTATAAGATGTTACCATTTTAATGGACCTCTAACAGAAGGATCTATTGAAATAATAATTAAAATTGAATTATAAATTAGGATAACTTTACAATTCGTGGTGTCAATTTGATAAAAGAAAAAAAATCAAAATTTAAGAGTTAATGCTCTTCTCCCTAAAATTAATGAATATAACATCATCGGAATATAGAGGCATTTTTTATGTTTATTTTTGGTAGACAATATAGAGGCATTTCAATTTTCAACTATATAGCACAATGGCAACTTTTCTCTAAACGGTATGAACGACTATGCCTCGTGTCTAGCAAGCTTGTGCATATATATCTCAACTACATATTGCTTCACTATTACTACTACTAATTTTTTATTAAACCCTTTTTCTTTTCTCCAGGATATGCCATTTAAAATAGTAAACATAGTTATTTAAAATGATTTGAACCACTATGATTTTAGTTTCGAAACATAATTTAAAATGATTTAAACATAATTCTAAGTATTCAGTTCCGTGAGAAAAATGTTTTTCTATTACTGTCATATTCAGTTTCTTACTTAATTTTTTAAGATATTATATATATATACATATATATAATACGATCATCTGTATAAGAATAACAAATTTTATACTCAATCTCAAATGTTGATATACTCAAACTTTGATATACTTGTATGCTGACTCATGTCATTAAAAAATTAAAATTGTTAAATATAAATGAAATCAATAGCCGAAATTAAAAGTATAACTTACATTAATATTAATATAAAATGATTTTCTTTCCATGCCCCAAACGCATTAAACATTTAGGAGACATGAAAATGTACGAGTTTAGGGCATTGTTTAGGAAAGAGACGTACATGTCCATCTCAAAGAAGAAAACCGGAGGCAGTTGCAAAACTAGAGAGAGCCCGGGTGGCAGAAGGAACTTTTGTACAAAAAAGAGTAACAGCATTGAATATGGAAAAATTCCTAGGTACATGGACTATATTACTATAAAAAAAATGTATCTAAATTTTATCATCAATTCAAGGAAATGTACGATTTGGCTATTATTAGATTTAATTCAGATTTTCAATTTAAACACTCGGATACTCCCACAATATCAAGTAGACCACATAATAGGAAGACGATGGAACAGATTGTTATAGTTTTTTTCTTTTATTAATAAATTCTTATTTCAAATTAATATCAAGATTCTATAAAGTTATATATTAGATTGCAAAATTATGAAAGATAATTTGCCTTTAATAAGAAACAATTGTAAAAGAAGTAATTGCAATTCTCGTAAAGTTATAGGTAGATTGAAACATTTAAAAGAGATTAGATGTGTTAAAAAAGGTAAAAGGTCGTGAAACATAAGAAAATAAATATATGGGAAAAATATTTGTCATTTTAAATGACACAACTTATATTTTTTCATTCTCACAAAGAGATGAGACCCACACCTTTATATTTTTTGTCCACTCTCTCTCCTCTTTTATCTATCTCTTTCTCTCACTTAAAATGACACAATTTTTTTTTTTTTGATAACAAAATGACACAATTTTACATCCTTTAAAATGATACACATTTTTGTTATCAAAAAAAAAAAATGATACACATTTTTCCCTAAATATATACATAGAAATGTTTACCAAAAATATATATATACATAGAAATTATCTTGTAAGGTTATTTTGGTAATACTATTCTTAATTACTCGTATGAATTGTACAAAAAAAATTCTCATGAACCTGAGCATGTGGGGCCCTGGAAAGAAGAGTCTGACTGAAATGCTTGTAACTGAACCACCCCAGTTTCTTCAAATTCCTATGCCTAAAAGATTAAACTACACTTTATGAGATATTTGCCTTTTTTAGTACCACCATCGTTCCTACCTCTCTCTCTACCTTGTCTCATCATTTCTTACCACAAACTCTCTCTTTGGAATCACACTCAAAGAAAGGGAAAATTTTCCAAATCCCTCTCTCCCACATTGTCCATATTAAAGTGTTAGTCTGCATATTATCTAGTATTTTCTTTCCTTCTTTCTTTCTTTCTTTCTTCCCCTTAAAGTGTAGGTAACTTACAACTACAATAACAAGCAATTACTTTCTCCTTGATTTAAGGGCATTAAATTTCTAAATTGTTCATTAGAACCACCTTCAGCAAAACAAGATTCAAATGATCAAATTTCAAATATATTATTGAGTGAATGTTCAAAATGAAGGGCTGCTTCTGGTGGTTGATTTGTGGCGTTTAACCATTTTTTTTCCTGTCTTTTCCTTTCCCTTCTTTCTTTTTCTTTTGTTTGCTTTTCCTTTCTTAGGGTATTTTCCTATGTGATATTTTTGTATTCACTCACATGGTATGTTCTATTTCTTTATTTCAAAATTTTGATTCTGTTAATTTGTGTCAACTACTGCAGACAAAGACTAATGAGTGCTGGAGACAGGCCAAATATGCATGAGCAAACTGGTTGCTTTGATCCCAACACAATGGCAGAAGGTGTCAGCTCTCTAAAAGATAGCTTTCCTCAAACTCTGCCAGAACCATCACCACCACCACTTATGGTTGCAGGCAACAACACCACAAACAGCAATAATAATAGCCTTGAAGAGAATCTCAGGCTTTCTGTGGAGGAGCTGTCCTATCACCACCAGCACCCAGAAGATGTCTCCACATATGAAAATGGAGTCACTGCCACTTCTATAGACATCCCACATCCACAGCATCTGGGTTTGAACATGGGAAACTCCTACTACAACAACAACAACAACATGGATGCCCATTTGGTTCAAGATGTCATTGATGGCTTTCCTTATCAGCAGTCCAATTGGGACCCTAGTGTTCAGGAATTACAAGATATGGACTATGCTAATCACCAAGAAAACCAACCACATGAACAACAATTTCAGCAAATTGAGGCACACAATTGCAGCCAAAGTTACAATCCCTCTTCCCTACTGGATCCTCCTTACCCTTCACCAGATCTCCTAAACCTTCTCCACTTGCCAAGATGCTCAGCTTCATCTTTGCTCACCAATCCCACCATTTGCATCACAAACCCAACTCAGAAAACACCCAATTTTCAGAACTCCATGGGTTTTCTTGGAGACCTTCCAATAGGATCAGACAACACAAGTGCATCCTCAGTTTTGTATGATCCTCTATTTCACTTGAACCTGCCTCCACAGCCTCCAGCCCTCAGAGAGCTTTTTCAGTCTCTCCCCCGTGGCTACAGCTTGCCAACCAGCTCAAGAAATGGTTCTCTTTTTGGTGGAGGGGATGAGATGGAGGGAGATGGGAGCCAGCTTGACATGGGAGTGCTTGAATTCAACAGGGGCACAGCTTCTGTTGGCAAAGGAAGGGAAGGAAAAGCTACCAAACATTTTGCAACTGAGAAACAAAGAAGAGAGCAATTGAATGGAAAATACAAAATCTTAAGGAGTCTTATCCCAAACCCCACCAAGGTACACTGCATCTATGAACTTTCTAACTAATATGTTATATATTTTTTTTATGAATCAAGCTAATGGGTTGGTTGAGTTTGGTTTAACACAGATTGATAGAGCTTCTGTGGTGGGTGATGCCATTGAGTATATAAGAGAGCTGATTAGAACAGTCAATGAGCTCAAATTATTGGTGGAGAAGAAAAGATATGGGAAGGAGAGGTGCAAGAGGCACAAAACTGAAGATGAAGCTGCAGAGAGCTGTAACATAAAGCCTTTTGGTGATCCAGATGGGTGCATAAGGACCTCATGGCTCCAGAGAAAATCCAAAGACAGTGAGGTTGATGTCCGGATCATTGATGATGATGTTACAATCAAACTCTTTCAGAGGAAGAAGATTAACTGCCTGCTGTTTGTCTCCAAGGTTCTGTATGAACTTCAGTTGGAACTTCACCATGTTGCAGGTGGACATGTTGGGGAATATTGCAGTTTCTTGTTCAACAGCAAGGTTGGTATTTCTTTAGACATAAAACTAACTGGGTAATTATCACATTTTATGTTTGTATATTCAACTGTAACCTGTTTCACTGAGGCAGATAATTGAAGGTTCTTCAGTCTATGCAAGTGCTATTGCCAACAGGGTGATTGATGTTCTGGACAGTCAGTATGCAGCAGCAGTTCCACATACAAGTAGCTATTAGGGCTGAGGAGGATAGTGTCAAGATCAGGCATCAAAGGTCTCTATCAATTGATACTGACATACATGTATTGAACAATAACATATAATAGTGATAATAATAGTAGTAGTAATAAGTTCGTGGGGACACCCAAGAGATACTGAAATTTACAAGTTCAACAGTTTATGACTTTCTGGTTCATATTATAGTTCCTTCAATTCTGAATGCAAAATTATTGTTAGGGATTTTTTAAGGGGCTTATTATTATTAACACTACAAGTTCTTTTGGGTTAGTGCTATCTACCTTTTTGTCCACTTTTTGGCTTGTCTTTTTTTTCTTTTCTTTTTTAATGCCTACATTTTTTATTGCTATTTTAGTTTAGCAGGCATTGTGCCGTGAATGCATTAGATTGTCTCCACAGGTTAGTTGAGTCATACTTTTCTTTTTCGTGTTGTGACAAGTAATTACTTTGCTTCACTGAATTCAATTCCTTATTTATATTCTTTCTATTTCTAGTATTCAGACTTTTTATATATTTTTATATATCCATTTTTATATGATATTTTCAACTGCCTTGTAGTTAAAACTTTAGCCGTTTCCCCTTTCCATGAGATTTGCTATTGATATGATTTTTTTTTTTTTTTTTGGAAATACTGATATGGAATTTCAACTGCAGCAAAAATACACCGTGAAAAATATTTTTATAAGAATTAGTATTAAGAAACAAAACAGCTTTAACTAGTTTTCTCTTCTATTTTAAATTCAAATTTGGGCAACAGTTACAATACAAAAAGCTGCTTCTCTTACACATGCAAAACCTTGGAATTAAACTATTTGAAGCATCAACTTTGAATTAAACTCTATTGTCATACCATTTGTGCTATGTGACACAAACCAATACAAAACAATTCCTTTGCACTACTGGTGGCAATAAAAGTACAGGGACTACTAGCCTGTCATACTCTAACCAAAAATGAAACAAAACTAAAAATAAAAATTAAAGGAATGTGTCCCTTACGTAGGGATCCATTTGTGTCTCATATTAGTTTAACATTCTGTTTGAGAAATGAATGGATTAAGTTCATACAGTATTAAAATCATGTTATTAAGTTTTTAGTGGACTAAAATTCACAAAAATGGCCTCTTCCAAAAAGAATTCACTTCTTAAGATAAAAATAAGAACTGTAAATTACAAAATAAAATAAAATAAAATAAAATAAAATAAAATAAAAATGGAACATAAGAAGAAACAAATGGGTCTATAAATGTGAATTCAAACTAGCTATTCCACAAGCTATTCCCTTTGCCAAAAATCTAGTTCTACCAAGGAATACACTATCATCCCCAAAGTACTGGTAAATTTAACTACAAAATGTATTGGCAAATCAAAATCCATGTCGACACTTGTAGGCAAGTATCTCCCATCACAAGAGTAGAATGATGAGGTGCCAGCCAATCCAGTTACAAAATCTCTTGTTGTCGTTGCTGAGACCAAATCCCTTTGACCATGAAGGGGGGAGGGTTTTAAGGGAAAAAGTTACCTCCAAGATCATGATCAGTATCTTTATCCCAACCTAGTTAAGGTCGGTATTTTACCTCCAAGATAACGGGATAAAAAGAGGAGGAAAGGGGATGGGTGGGAGAAGAAAAATGAAAATTGTCACAAAATTTAGTCTACGTCAATAGGGAAAATATCATATCCACGACTTCCAGGCTTTGCTAACTTTCCTAGAGAGATACCTAGTAGCATTTACCCCACCAACAGCAAGCAGGCCAGATATGGCCTGCCTTGCACTGGAAACCATAACTCTTCTTCTCAGAATTCTCTGCAAGCAATTTGCTGCTGCTTCTCTTGAGTTGATGTTAATGTCATGTACAATTCTACCTGAAATCGCGGTACTTTTTTCTCAATATGAAATACATCCCTATTCAGAGGTACAATCTCACTGCCATCAAGTACCATTTAGAGATTTAAAAGAACTAAGAAACTTAATCAATTTCAGTTAACTGATAATGCCACTCCCTTTATACTTGTCAGCAAAAAAATAAAAAGAGAGAGTTTCTTTTACTATCCCCCCCATCCATTTGGACTTCAAGAATTTTAGGAACTGAAGCAACAATTCAGAAACATTCTTTACCATATTATAAGCATACCAGTTTCTCTTAAATTCATTTTCTCTCCTTGCTTCATGCTTATCTGGCTTCTGATTGATGGAGGAAGAGCAGAAACTAGAGAGCAAGCAACTGATAAGTCACAATCCTGTTTTAAAAAGTAAAAGAAGTTTCTTTACTAGGTCTGTCAAGTCCTAAAATGCAACATTATATCAAATACCAACTTGCCAGCTTCAGCTAGGTATTTGCCTCTACCAAATTTCCTACGTATTAAACATTAAAAGGAAACTTTTCCATTAAGCAGTACAAAATAAATGACCCAGAGTACCATTCATTATCAATAAATGAGATGGACACACACACACACACAGACAATATATACATATATATATGGAAAATGTTTGTCCTTTTAAAGGATGGTTATTTTAGTTAAAACTAGTTTTTTTTAATTTAAATAAATTAAAAAAAAAAAAAAAAAAACTCACTTTCTCCCCCCATGATTTCCATTGTGTATCTCTTTCTCTCACTTAAAATGACACAATTTTATATCTTTTAGAAGGAAAAACACCGATCCCATATATATATAAAAAGAAATAATCTTTTTCAAGAACAGCAAAAAATCTATGATGCATCCACAAAATATAAAACCTTAAGAATGCCATCAACAATAGAATAGCAACCAAAGGTGAAAATTAAAATATCTAGAAGGAGATGAAAAGCACAAAATAGCAGAAAAATATTGCTTATATTTTCTCCTTAACGAACACTAAAGAAAGAAAGAAAAAATTAACAAATTGCATCCTCATGACAACAGCGAGTGGCATTAAATAATAAGATGGACATAAATAGAAGGAATCACAAGTTCATATGTCACATCTCATAGGTTACACTTCATGGTGTTCATTAAGTTAAAGAGCATGTATTTATTAATATAAAAAAAATATAAATACATTTATCTCTCTTTAAAACACAACTTAATTACTGATATCTAAAGATCTGAAACGTGTATTTTGTAATTGGCAGTTCAATATGATCATTTAGCTTTTAATGTAATAATCAAATTGGTTTTTGAAGACATAGTTGCACCAATGGTATTTGAGCCTCAAAAAATACTCAAACCAGTGAAAAATTCAAGATATAATAAATAAAGGAATTACAAGTTTGTTTGGAATATTTCATGGGTTAATACTTCCTCATAGAGTTTGAGGCACAACAAAGCTAAATTCCTTCAAATATTAAAAAATGGGAGAATTACTATTTAGGATATATGGGAATATATTTCCAATCTAGAATGACTTAATCAAAAGGATAGCGATTCAAATCAATATATTCACTATATTTTAATGTTGATAACCACTTTTTTAGTTAATCATCCAAAATTGGAAATATGATGGTAAAGATATCCTAAATTCTGATTCTCCCAAAAAAATCAAAACTGAATAATAAAGACCTGAGAAACTTGTATTTGGTGACTGGCGGTTGATGAAAGTCTCAACAACTTCTTAGCCTCATATTCTTCAAGAAATGGCTTATACATCGAGTGGAATAGATCAAATTGTCCAGTTACAATCTTCTTCACCTGGAAAGATTGTGAACAAAGGAACCACAGTGAAACCATTAGACAAATAGGATCCATATATGATCAATCTGGCTTCCTTCAGAAAGAAGATGCCACAAACAGAAACAGTTTTCCAACAGGTGTGCTACCTTTCCTAAGACGTTAAAAGCAATACAAGGAAGAAAGGAGTATATGCAGCAAATATTTCACCAATTTCAGCAGATAATTCTCATCAAATGAAGTGAAAATCCAGTCAGTTAACCAGAAATTCAAGCATGGGCAGGTTCATATCACTGACATGACAACTATCCAATGTTTCACATCTTCACTATAAGAAAAATGGAAAAAATAACTATAAAAGAGATAACTCAAACTCAGAAAGGCTGGAATGTCTATAGAGTAAATCAAAATTTGTGACCAAACTGACATATTTCCATGGGATGGTATTGAAATTTAATAATATTTCCATACCATAACCTACGTTAGTTGCAATCAAGGTCTACCTTGTTTTTATCCTCGGCAAATAGCATTCGTACATCACCCATATATGAGAGACTACATACTTTGGCATACAGATCTTCCTGCAAGGGTATGGTTGAATCACTTCAGTTGTTCCAATTTCCAAAATCATTAATTTAATAAGAAAGAAAAATACCTCTGTGAATTCTGATGGAAGCAGGAGAAGAGCAGCTGACATTGCAGCTCTCAAGTTAACAGAATTGGTGGTGTTAATGTTCAAATTATCAACAACAATATGAACCTACATGAAATGAACCCAAAAACAGAACAGAAAAAAAAAAAAAAAAAAAACCCTCAGTTATGGATCCAAATTCCAAATTATCAGGAAAATTAGAGACAGGCAAACAACGGTATACATATGGGACATAAAATTTAAAACGAATTCATATAAGAATTTACTAAGAACTAGAGCATACATGGAACACCGTAGGGTTTGGTACGTATACGAGTATGCAGCACGTGACTTTTCTCAATACTAGTGTTACTTTTCTCAATACTAATGTTTTAAAATCCGGCTTGGACCGACCCGGGTTTCGATGACCCAGTGCCCTCACCAGTTTGAGCTGGGCATTGAATTGGTCATGTAGTCGAACCGGTATCAACCCGGTGAACCGGTCATGACCCGCGAACCGGTACCAAAACCGGGTTCAACTGGTGTTGAACCGGTTTTATATTAAATTGTATAAAATATATATATTATTTTGCAAGCAACGGGATTCGAACTTAAGTCCCCTTGTTTGAGGATCGGAAGGCTTACCACTAGACCACTTATATTTGTTGGACATAATGTTCATAATTTAATATTTATTATATATTATTTTGAAATCCAGTTGAACCATTGACCCAGTATCTTGACTGAGTCGATGTCCGAGCCGAGTTTTAAAACACTGCTCAATATGCAATACTAGGGGCAGACTTAAATACTTCGCTATTTAGGATCAAAATTAACATAGAATTGGATCACCATGCATAAACTTCCAATAATTGTTTAGGCCCATTAGCACATTTTAGAAAACTAACCACGGCCTATAATTTATTTTATTTTATTATTTTTGCTATGTTAAGGATGCTGAGAACCAGGGTTTTGTTTTTTTTCTAACCCTCTATCCCCCTTTACTCCCGAGCAGCTGCCTCCCTCTCCTTCCTCTTCTCTGTACTTCATTTCTTTTTTTTCCCTCTCTCTTTGCAAGGTTGGGAAACCTTTTGCATTGGGGTTCACCCTTTTTTTTCCTCTCTTTATCACTGGATATCCTCAGCATATGGAATTTCCTTAACTGTTAGTACAATGTCAAAGGATGTTGACACTAGTCTGCGAATAAAAGGTGGATACTTGACTAAACTTTGGGATGCTGCTTCAACGATCTTCGGGCACAAATGTTCCCAAACATAGGGAATTTGAGGGTACCATATAACACTGCACTAGAGCTACATGAAATTGGACCCACCACACAATGCTTAAGAGTAGTTATTATAATCTTAAATCTTCTTAGTTAAACATGGGAAAATATAAATTAGCACAGATGCCAAAAATAAAATATTTACAGTTTTTTTATTCAGGGATTATTTGATATGATAAAATTAAGAATCTTCAAGACACAATGCTTAGAGCTAAGGAAACAGGACAAGTATACTACAGATATGTCAGGTTCACCTCACAACAGGCTACCTAAGCTGTATGCACAGAGGAGACACAAGAATGGTGAGGTTACCCTAGTATCATTATGGTATACATATGTACAGTTGGGAAACAAACATATTTCGGTTAAAAAAAATCTTTTGGCACTCCAGACAGTAAAAAGAATCATTACAGGCAGCTAGCATCATTCATTACTTATTTGTTCATTCCGTCTTCATCTTCTTCTTTTTTTATTTTTTATTTTTGGTGAGATTCGTGTTTATCCTTCTATTGGTTAAACAATTTAGAGGTTATACACTAGTGGTCCAAAAACCACGAATCAAGAATAAAATGATTTCACGGAACAGAAAAAAAAGGCTAACATACTGGTTTCTGTAAACGACCACACAAGTAGAATTTCTCCCAATGTTTTACATCTTGAAGTAAGTCATGCATTCGAACAACCCCATACTTGAACATCTGCATAAATTTACTTATACATTAGGGACTCGTCATAAAAAATAAAAAAGTAATCTTCATTTAACAAATCGGCCAAAAAAAAAAACTGTTACAGACAACTAAAAATAAGCCAGCATTCTCAATTAAATGCTATTAGAAGGTGAGTTTGCCGAAATTGAACAAAGGGCCTGATTCACACACCACACCACACCACACTACTACTAAGTCATAAAGCTGTTAATACCTTTCCATTCCAAGAAGCAAAAGGGTTGAAATGTACTCCCACGCCAATTTTATCTGCAACACCAGTAATCTTACATGTTGCATCAAGACACAGCATCAGAAATCATCATCATCTAATAAAACCCAAGTCAGATATGACTATGAGAGACAATAAAAATAAAAAAAATAACAAAATTCAGAGGAAGTACCAGCCTCTCTCCACCAAGATGCGCCATCCATGACGCATAGTGATGCTTGTTCAATTTCAGATTCTTGATTGTTAACATTGCAAGAAAAAGAAAAAGAAAAAAAATAAAAATAAAAACAAAAATATCAGTGAGGCATTCAAATGTTATGCAACTAATAACACAACACAAGTGCATAATATATCATAACATTGATCAGTACCTCAGAATGCCACTGCTTGGGGTCAGACACACCAATAATATAATCTGTCATGGTTGTCTAGAAAGCCAAAAACACAGAACTGAGAACAAAATATCAAAATAACAATTAAAAAAGAAGAAGCCCACAATGGAGTAGAGAAGAAATATGCAATCAAAATTTATGGGAATGAAACAAAAGGGGACCTTGTCGTGGTTGTTTGGATGAAGAGATGAACCATAGACGCAGGCAAATTCAACAGGGGGAAGAATCTGAAGAAAACTTTGAAATGGTGTATTATGCTCCATGATGCCCACTGCTACAAGGACCAGTTACTGAAGCTTGAAAAAAGATGAAACAAAAATGTTTGGACGTTGTAAAGATAGATGGGGAAAAAGATGGACCGTTGGGGAGTTTCTTCGAACAGTTTATGTGCATTCTATTCAAGCTGTGGCGAAGCACCTCACAATACAAAACTTATAGACGGAGCTTGTAAGTAAGCTAGTCTAAAAACGGGTAACTCCTGGGCCTAGCCCAAATGTTTATTTGGCCCAAGGAAAATCCTCTCATGCTTCCTCTGTAACTTAAGATTAAAAAAAAAAAATCCTTCTTTTAGTTTCCCAATCGGTTCCTCCTTAAAAAAAAATTCTCTTTTAACTCTCTAAAAATTCAAATTTTAACATATTTATAATTTGGAACCAACCTTCGTTACTATTATTATTAACTAAATGTTTGTTTAGCAAATAATGATATAATGAAATTAAAAGAGACAAAATGTGAGTATTGATAATCTTCGCCGGATGATCTTGCCTAGCCGGCCTGGGAAGGCCACCATCACTTAGACTCCTATGTAAATGTGTCCCCTTATGACACCCATGCATACATGACTTTTTATATGTCATGGGTCACAAAGCCTTACACCTAGTGGGGCTCATATGGCTGAAAATGGTTATGACATCATATTTTTTGCACTTAGAATCTCCAACACCTTGTATAAAGGACACTTCGTCTCCTTATTTCTTTATCTTCTCCATCGCTTACCTTTATTATTACTCTACTAAAATCATTCTTCAAACCATAATCGAGATCAAAATCACCTCTCTCATTCACTCTCAACTAACCTGAGACTAGTACAGTAACTCTAAAGATTTTGGTCTGTATCATTGTCTCTCTTGTCTTTGTTAAATCAAAATACTTCACCCTTACGGGACACATATCTTCACTTACATACTCTAATTAGTTCAGATAAGATTAAAATTTAATCATATAATGGCGATAGTAAATGAGAGGCATTTAATAATATTTTTAAATACTTGCTTATTTTAAAAGAAAATAACAGTATTCATTTTTAAGAGGAAAAATAGAATCTTAATCAAGGTAACCACAATACGGTGTAAGTGTCCATAAGAAAAAAATTAATCAAGAAATACTGGTTGTTGATAAATATATATTAAACGGTAAATAATATCATCTTAATATTAAAATAAAATAACAAGATTGAAAAGGAGAATGATATTAAGGTAAGTGTCGATAAGAAGTAAAAAAGACAGCACATAATTAATTATTTATCGCAAAATTATTTTTAATAAATAATAAAGGGGAAAAAAATTGTTTCTCCTACTGTGATTTTTGTTTCTCTTACTATAAAATACAATAACTTTGACTAAAATGATACAATTATATATCTTTTAAAAGGATAAATACTAATTCCAATAATAAATATTAAATATGAAATACCTTGTTTAATGCATGAATGAAATTACTAATATATAAGTAAACTTTTGACTCTAAGCTTGTAATGCCAACTCAAATTATCAATATGAAAGGCTTTAGGACCTTTCGTTTTTTTTTTTTCTGCATTAAAATTAGTTTCTTTATTTAAACAATCTGTACTCAGAAAAATTAAACATGACATAGTATATTAAAAAATCACAACCATACAAAAATAAATCAATTGTACTAATTTTGTAACTATCTACTTTAATATAAATTTTTTCTCTTTCTTTATCATCGTTGATTTACTTTTATATAGTTATAATTCTCCACATGATCATATTATATAAATTTTTTAACATAAGAGAATTCATTCCGTGTTCGTCCTAGTTTAGTTCTTCAGCATAATTTAGCTTTAACCAAGTTTTCCTTAAACTCCCAAACTGAACTCAAAGCACTGGAATCAGTCATTCAAGTTGGTAGTGTAATATATAGAGGGGATTACTTCTCTCATGTAGTATGAAAAAAGTTTTCTCATGTTAAGAGACAAATAAAATGGACCTTACTAACTTTTAGAAAAAAGAAAAAAAAGAGGCACATTTTTTCGAAAGGAAAGTAACATAAGAGATCCATCTTATGCAACATAAGAATTGATTTTCCTATATAGAATTACAAAAACTCATAAACCAACTTTGTAATCATCCTCCTGGACCAGGAAGGATTTGTTATCGGTGGTTATTATTAAGCACAAAAGGTCCATACATATATATGTTCCGAGCAAGGAATTGTAGATTAGTCCCTAGAAAACGTGCCATGGCAAGCTCTGTAATCAGCCTCAAAATCTGATCACAATAAATTTCCAACTTTTGCTGCCGGATTCTATTTGTTAATGAAGATCGAACTTCACATGAAAAACTAAAAACATAAATTATAGAAATATAACATTCAATTGTGTTTTTAGTATTTTAAAAACATAAATTATATAAGAAATCGTCCAGAGCAACCCAAAAAGAGAAAAGTAGAAAATCTATGTTGAATTCTGTAGGAAAGAATACAAGCACGCATATTTACATAACCTTACAAGGAGCATAATATATAACGAGATGGTTCCTCACGTTGATAACATAAAAATCTCAACTAGGTAGACAATCACAAATCAGCAGCACATTTCTAAAATATCATACAATATGTACAGCACGCCAAAGTCAATAATCATTTTATCTACTTTTTGTCAGGTAAGAAGTAATGAGTAATACTAGAACCTCGTTTAACCACATTAGTCCGCTTATAAGGCCTAAGCCAGGCTCGAAACTCATCCTGGATTTCTGGGGGTAATTCATCAATGATTGAGGGGTCAATCTCATCAATGTTATAACTCCAAGCTTGCCTTCCTTGTGGCATATTAGCTCTGCTATATCCACTGTTGTTTGTATCAATCTCTTCATGAGAATTCTCAGCTGGCAGCTCAACTTGATTACAAGTGAAATTACTATCACTGGCAGACGGGGATCCTGCAGTATTGATGACATTAGAAATGAGAAACAGAGATGGGATATCATAAAAATAATCAAAGGAAAGGGAATAGAAAATTACCGAGTGATGATGATATTTTAACACCGTGGACGTTTATAACATTCTTCTGCTCCAATGAAGACTGGGAATTACGGTAATTATTGAAGAAATTTACAATTGAACAATTCCCCTGCCAAAAGAAATTTCTTATACTGTAAAATGAATTAGATTCAAGGCTGAAGCTCCATATCAAAAAAGTCACCGGAATTTAATATTCCTTTTATTAAGGGAGAACCTAGAAGTTGAATGGCTGATACGACACTACCATTATTTTCATTTCTGAGGCTTCTAAAGTAATATTATGAATTAGAACATCCAAATAGGGTCATTATTGGACCCAAGGTTCTGAACACTGGACAACTTACTGAACACTGGACAACTTAGTGTACTCTAGAAAGCTTTACAGGGGATTATAAAGGAAGGGTGACTAAGCACTAAAGGCGAATATAAGAGTTGTTGGAAGGGAATTCTATGAGAAGGGCCAAGGCTAGCATGGATGACGGAGTCGATTGAGAGAAGTTAAAAGGAGGGTGAGCATGAAGAAAGGGGTGGACTGGATTTGGGAGAGAGGAGCACCTCTCGAAAGTACTATCATCACTGATATCTTTCTTTTTCTGCCATTGCAGACATCATTGGAGTTAGCCATTTTCTGTACTTGTTTTTCTTTAATTTTCCATTGTACTGTTTCCCTGTTTCATCAATATTTAATCAGAAAATCCAGAGTTTCTCTGGGCCAAAAAGTTCCTTGTGTGTCTTTTTCCTTGGTATTTTATGATCCAGTTTTATCAGACTGAATCAAGGTTTAATGATTCAACCGTAGTAGAACTGCATCTAACTAAGGTTCCTTGTGCCGTGTGCATAAATGTGGATGTTGGCTTATTTGGACCAGCACAATAGTTGGCTAGTGGGTCACAGTCTATTTCTTTTTTGAAAAATATGTCTTCATAACTAGGTCAGTTGTGGCATTAGCTGAAAAAAAAATTTTCAAAAAAAGTTTGAACCATCTGACCTTGCAAACAAGTACTGGGCGGACAACTGGTCTAAGACCAGTTTTCTGGTTTTTGATCGAAATAAATGGTTTAAATTCTGTTACGGTTTGGTTTCCAGAGGTATGATTGGAGCAAAGACAAATAGTCTTGGGCTCTTGGTCAAGAAGCAGTATTCAGATTAGCACACTACCCATCCTAGATCCTTGCTTTGCAGGATTATAACCAGTTTGAAGGTTTTTATGCTCATGATTGCACTTAGACACAGACATGGTAAACTAGAAAAAGGAACAGTTAAAATAGTGTGGCAAAGCATACTTGAAGCTTCTTTCCCGCTGTTTTTTTCTTCTCAACTGCTTTCAAACGGGATGTATTGGAAACAAGCATTGGTTCTTTAGCAAGAAAATCTCTACATGGCTCACTCTCTGTCATTATGTCTTCACTTCCTGAATTAAAAAACCACCTTGATCATAATCCCAGAAGGAAACGAAGAGAGAGAGGAGAATGATGAGCTAAAACCAGTATGACACAGTACCTGGGGGTGATATGATGGAGGACTCTTCAGTCAAGCCATCTACTTTCCGGGATAAATTGCAAAATGGATCCTGCACAAAGAGAAATCCAATTATTGGGCCTGTTTTCTGCTAAGAACCATTCGCATATAGAGAAGCAAAACCGTGGGTTTGCACTCTGGTGTACGCACATGTAGAATATTACCTTCACACTTGATGGGCCTGAAAGTGAGTGAATTAGCTAGTGAGTTAGTTAGGAATTCTTCTAGAATATTCTTAGGAGATAGGATAAGAGGGGAAATGTGGGAAGTGAGGTAGGCATGAATTCAGTATTGGTTAAGTGGGGAATTTGGGGATCTCTTGAAGCCTGGGGATGTTGGCTTTGAGGGTGAGTTGAGGTCTTTTGGTGTATTTTTCTGGTATTAGTGTTTGTAAAAAGAGGCTATGGCTTCATTGTTAATAAAATCAGTGCTGTAATTTTCTGGTTCCATCAACACTCAGATAGAATACCTAGCAAACTCTAATGGTTGAATTTATTTACAAAGTTAACAATTTTTCCCACAAGCAAGTTTATTTTGGAGCTCTAAGCCCTCAACTTGATAGCTGTGGGACCCTATTATAAATTCATATCATTCTTAAAGGAAGTAAGAGCTATATTCTCTGCAAATATACAAGTTTCCTTGCAAAATCCATTAAAATTTGCATTAACACTACAGAATACTACACTTAGTGCATAACCATGAAAGAAACACATTAAAATGAGAAATCAATATTCAAATCTGATAGAATACCAATCAGCAAAATATCTTTCTTAAGAAATTTAAGTTTTCATATCAGAAGATATTGTAAATAAATTACATTTATAATCATAAAAGGATGTATGTATATCTGCTGTCAAGTGAAATACTTCTACCAGATCCCAAATTAGCCACTAAAACCTTCCAAAATCTATTCACCTTGTAGTCATCTAAAATTTGCCATCATAAAAATATTCTGATGAATAACTTTTGTGAATAATTGTAAAAATATTTTTCTATATGTGCAATCAAATTAGATCTTTACATGAAACCTGACCAGGACATATACTTGCTTTGATATACCTGTTGATCTAAACAAGCCCTTGCATGTTCAATTCCTGTGTCTTCTTCAAGATATTCGAGCTGCATATCATAGGGAATCAATCCCGAACAATTTTCACTACCTGCTTAAGCATATAGCCTCCATCAAATTAAAGCGAAATATATGAGAACGAATAGTTTAATTAATTCAACCAATGAGATGATGGAAAACCTGAAGGTGATGATGGTGCAGCTTCGACAATGACATTATCTAATGATTGATTTGATGAAGAACCAAATTGAAATCGCCCACCAAAGTATTTAGCAATTGAATGTGTCCCCTAGACACAAATGCAGTTTAAGATATAATTTTTAAATATCATTATGTGACCCTAAATGACATCACTTGCTTAGGACCACCCAATAAGAAAAAAAAGAAAAAAATTTAATTTTAAGGCTCGTGTTGACAAGCATAAACCAAAGTACCAAACATGAACACAGAGTTTAGAAATATAAAACACTGATAGTAACAATATACCACATGCTATAATAATTGCAGGTTATTTCATTTCAAATGCTAGTGATATCCCTCACTGTTTTAAGGTGATCCTATATCAGGAGCCACAAGATGAACCCAGATCATAACCAAAAGTTAGTAATCCAAGCAGTTCAAACTTACAGATGGTATGGGGACAATCTTACTCGCAGTTACAGAAAGTGATGTTATTCCCCAGTTGCTATGTTCGATGCCATTATTAATCTTACAGTTGTAAAACCCCAAGAAATCACGTAATCCAGCTTGAAATAGAATTAAGGCATCCTCTTGAATCTTTCTAGTCCCATATCTTAAAGGACAAGATTTAGAAGGGAACTTTCTATGTGAATCTGAAACCCCTGTCTGCAAGAAAAAAACTGAAATAAAATAGATGTAGAATAAAACCACTGATGAAGAGGATGAAAGAAAAATTAACAATCAGAGATAGTGAAAATGTATAAATTTGTCTGAGCAAAGAGAATTATGCACAGATCAGTCACAGAACCTTATATGCTCTAGCATGCAGGGTCAGTGTGTGTGCAATCCGTTTGTTTTGATCCAAGTCAGTGTGAAGTCGTTCATTTAGCTCTTCACACAGTTGATTAAGCCAGTGCTGAACCTGAAGAAAAATAAATAATCACAAAAAGAGATGTCATGATATGGACTTGCTTGTGCAACTGAAAAAAAATAATAAAAGGAATATTAAATCACGTTCCTATAAATGCCAGCAACAGAAACTCTAAAATAAAACATAAAACATATTTCTGGGAGCAATAAAAATATCTGACCCACGAAGCACTAGGAAATAAAATGACAGTATTTTTGCTCGGTAATACAGTGCTGCTGTCAGCAGCATCACCCAAAATGAAGTGCTAGGAGTTATCATCAGCTCAGATGAGAATTCGTACAGAAGCAAGTGTCTTCAAAGCCTGAGGCCCAGGAAATGTCTTGCCAGAACCATGGCTCTTGGGAAGTAATCGCCCCTCAACTTCTTCCCCACTGATTCCTCTTGCAATATTCCACAACCATGAACTGCAATGCTGTAAAGGCTAGAATCAGGGGTAGATAGAATACCAACAGATTGCTATGAAGACAGAAAAATGGATAGCCATTAGTAACAAAATCACAAGGGGAGCTATAAAAATTTTAATCATTTGAAACCAAGAATTCACATGCATGCGTATTTAAGAGATTTGATTCAAAATAATCCAGTCATCCAAGTTAAGGTATAAAGGTAATGGCATGCATGTGATTAGTGAGTGACTCAAAAATTGCTATTTAACATATGACATCACCAAATAGAAATCAGTAACGACATAGCCAAATTATATTTTGGTAGTATATATATAACACCGTTTTACAAGACAGATACCCAGTGTTGATCCCATAACGTTGTTGTAGCCTCTCCTCTGAAAACTGAAGCAGATCACCAACGGTGTTGACACCAAGATCACTTTGTAAGGAACTCCCCAGCTTTCCTCCCAGCTGTTTCCTGAAATCCAAGTTTTCTAAAACATCATACTTTATAATCTAAATAACCATGATATTCGAAACAGTTAGAAGAGTTGCACAAAAAACAGCCATATGATATCTTCACAAACTTCAAAAGAATGTAAACTCAACATAGTATAGCATAAAATTTAAATTTGAGTGAAATAGATGACAACAAATTTTAATTAATAACATTACATTTTCTTTATTGGCAAAGACTCAAGCAATCCTTCAACAGATGAGTGTGGCACAACCGTTTGTTGTGCAGGTTTGTTCATAGCACTAGCAAGTTTAGCCAGCATCTGTGTAAAGCAACAGACGTGACTTAATAGCCATTTCAAACATCAAGGACATTCCCTTAAATAGAAAGTTGTCATAAATTTGGAAAAATTAGTAGATATATAAACACCACCAAGGCTACCTTTTACCTTATTATGAGCAATACCAGCAGAGCATGTGAATTCTGTCTCATTCAACACCTGCATCCTGAGGTCAGCAACGATCAAGGCTCCACAAGCTAATAGCTTATCTTGGTAACCAGCATCACTTCTACAAAGCCACTTCCTAATTTCTTCTTTGGCATCGCTTCCATCCTGAATACAAAACCAATTGCAGTACTATCACATCCTCTCATGCTTGTAGGCTAACATAATTATATTTGAAAAGAGAAATTAAAGGTGTGGCAAGCTAATGAAGTGTATTACAACATTACAGCAAAAAGCCTAGTCCTGAGAACTAGACTGGACTGACCAGTTTGAATGGTAAACCAATAAACCAGCGAGTCATCATTCTCTACCATTATGCCTTACCAGTGGATCAAAAAGACTCACAATGGACTCTAAGTCTCTAATCATGAAGTTTAAAGTCATACTTAATTAAATTTTATTATTTCTCATAAACATATAATACTTATATGAAAAGTAATGATAATGAATTTTCTAATATAGCTATTATAACATAACTTGCATGTTTATCAAATTGTTATTTCGTATGCTATATTGTAACATTGTATTAGCTATATGCACATTAAAATTCAGACTCAACCAGTTACCAAAATATACAAGAAAATAACGGTATTTTCTATCTTGAGATTAATAGAGTGATCCCAAAAAAATGCAAGATCTCAAAGCATAGCCTCTGACCTTACTTTCAAGCCCCAAAACATGTGACTTGAGAACTTCCTCCTCAAAATCTTGCATGTTTTCCGTAGGAGTTTCCATTAACATAGTTTCAGCGGCATCAGTGAGGTCAAGATATACCTCATCGATCGACGCCCTCTCACAACGACCCTTCTGAGCAAGAACCGAAACAACCTGGAAAACCAGGAACTCACCGTAAATGAATCAACAGAAGTGAATAACTCTAAACGAAATAACACATTTAGGAAGTGATTAAATTGCAGTGTATGTCTCAATCCCATAATATACCTCTGAACCTGCATTCCTGTATGAGTTGAGATCGGCTTTACCACGTGCAACAGGAACTTGTACCAGTTGAATTTGCGGGCATGTCTCCTTTGCTTCATCACCCCGCATTGAACTGAAAAACATTAACATTTTTTTTTTCTTTTAAAAATTAATAGTTAATGTGAAAGTGAGACCAAATAACCACAAGAGAATGATTACCGTTTGACTCCAAAGTTGCGAGCCTCATAGCTAACAGCAATCAATGCGCCACCTTTATATGAGTTGTACTGTATGACTGCGCTAGGCAACCCCCTTAAATTTGGCTGCTTTCTCTGTTCCACTACACAGCAAGAAAACATCATATAATTGGCGATTTGAAATTGAAATTGAAATAGATGTTCCCTTGAATTGAATTGAATTGGCGCTTAAAGACTTAAGAGTGATTGTGGAACCCTAAGAGAAAGAGACAAAAAAAGGAAGAGAGAATGGAACCTTGAACGTAGAAGCAATCCAAATCAACGTGAGCAATCACCCTTCCATCACACCTTTCTGGTTTCGCCACCGGCATCTCCACTCCTCTTTTCCCTCCAAATCTTCCTTCCTTCCCTTCTCCCTTGTCTTTTCTCTCTGGCCCGTGTTTTATACTCTTTTTTAAAAAGAATTTATTATTTTAAAATTATAATTTATAATTTCCAATAAAAAAATTGAGGCATATTTTTTCAAATATAATATTAATTTAGTACAGTGGATCGTTGCACTATAATATTAATCAGACGTGATTATCTCGTGCCGCTTCTTAAATGTTCAAAAAAACAAAATGTAAATCTGGATATTCCGACATAGTTGATTACTTATTGGAGACAAAATCCTTTCATTTCATGGAAGAAAAAGTCTTCCACTCGTGTTGTTTTATTGAACTCAAGTTTCATTCATTATGAGAATATTGTCATAGGCATTGTGCTTACAACACTCTATGTAGGAAGTATACTATTGACCATCTTCCCTAATTATAATGTTAGCTTAAAGGATAGAACTCTGTCCAAAATACTCAAGGTGCTGATATAGTTAACAAGTGTTGATTAAGTTTCTGAGGCGTATGCAGCTACTCTTCATCATCAGATGATATATAGACTTCAAGATCATGTTGTTGATCTTCCACAACTGTCAAATAGTCACGATGATGTTTTGTTTGTGGTTGCAAAGAATCCAGAAGATACTCCTTCAATTATCCATATTCCGATAAAGATATCTTGTGAAGAATTGACGAAATTGATTCTGGTAGAATGGGTGACTAATTATGAAAAGATTCATAAGACCGGCAAACCTATTCAGTCTCATGAAGAAAGTTTTAGAAGATCTGTAGATGGAACGATCAAAACAATTTTTAAAAGACTTGATGCAGTTGCTAGCAGTTCAACTCTTCCTATTTTCCAATCACTAATGATTTCTCCATATTATACTGAAGAATAGATTCCTATTTATCATATCTTGCTAGATAGATCTCCCATTTTCATTGATTGTATTAATGGTCATTTTATATAGGATACTGATCCTAATATGTGTGATCCTGAGTGTGATTGCTGGATGCACTCTAGGGATACCAGTGATGAAGATGAGGATGAGGATGAAGTATAAGATATAAGAAGATGTAGGCAATGTAGGCCTCCTCCACCTCCTCAAAGGAGATCTAACCCAAACAATGGACCATGGATTGGTTTTAAAGCTCAAAAGAAACTTAAGCCTCTTTGGATTTATAAGAGAGGTTTAGAAATTCTTAGATAAGAATGATTGCTTCCTCCTGAACCACTTAAACCACCAAATGACCCAAACCTTGTTACCTGGTCACCAAAAGATACTTTTCCCAAATGTCAACCTGAACCATTACCTATTTCTCAGCCAATACCTTGTAAGATGTTTTGAAGTGTTGATTTTTCACCCTTAGAATGGCAAACCAACCCAGTCACCAAGGTTATCACCAAACCTACTCTCAACCAAGGAGAGGTTCTCCCAGATGGGAAACTCAAACCTTTAAGCCAAGCTGAAGAAGTACTGAACTGGAAGACTAAGAATACTCAAGCTCATAATTCTATTCTGAAAAGGCTTGATGCCAGAATAGATAGAATTTTTACTCAAACGGATGCTACTGAAGATCGTCTGTAGCATCTCTCAGAAAAAATGAGAAAGTACTACAAACAGACTGTAAAGATGATAGCTCAACTTGAAGAAGAAGTCAGAAAATTAGGCTTTACTCCAAAAGCTAGCTTAAGAGACAGAAACGAAGTAAGAAGATTAAAGGCAGAAATTCAAGATCTAGAAAGAATCATTGAGCAAAAGATCAAAGCTCAACAAAAGTCAGAAACAGTAGAAAGTTACAATCCTTTTTTGCCACCACCATTACCGACTTATTATTCTCCTTTCCAGAAACCATATGAATTCTAGACAAATCCACATCCTCCTAGACCTTGGACTTTCCCAACTTCACAATCTTATGACCATAAAACCCGTAGAGAAAGCAGAGAAAGAGGTAAACAACCATATTCTTCTAGAAAATATTCTTCTAGAACTAGAATGGAAACCCCTCATTCACAATCACCAATTTCCACTGAACCCATAGAGAACCCAAATCCATCAAAAAGAACCTTTTCTTTTGAAACAGAAAATATTAAAGACCAACTAGCCTTAACCCAAGCTGAACCACAAGACACAAATGAATCAAACTCATCTGAAGATGATACTCAAAGTTTTGAGAGTTCATCTAAATTATCTGAATCTTCCTTAGAACCTAAAACCCTTGAACCTAAACTAATAGACAATCAGTCATATGAAACCAACTCCTCCAATACAGCTGAACCAGAATCAACCACTAAAGAAAACCAATTTGATGCTACATCAGACTGCTTTGAAGTTGCATTTGCTGATGTTACTGGCATACTGATTGCCAGAATGACAGAATCAAGAGTTGAGTCATGGTATGATCCCCCTGAGTCAGAAACAAAAGGTATTACCAGTCGAAATCAAAGCAAAAAATCCACTAGCTATGGTGGACCCTAGTTTACACTTAATGATATTCCTCCAACTCAGTGGAAAACAAGACTTTTAGAATTTGGGGCATGGATTGATACAAAGTTATTGCCTACTGATGTTGATCCCTACAAAGTCATTGAAGAATTTTGTTCCAGAATGATTGGCTCACTCAAAGAATGGTATCATAATCTTGGCAAGACCAACTCCTCAATGTTGGTTCCATCTCTAGAATGCTAGGTGTGCTTCACTAAGAGTTTATTGGAGATGGAGATTTCATACACAAGAAGTACAGACAAGAATTATTTCAGATGAAATGTTGTTCTCTTAGAATTAAAGGTCTAGAAAGACATTTCAAGAGGATGATGCAGAGATTCTACTTGCTGAATGGATATAATTATGTTGCTTCATTGCCAAAGGAGATTCAACCAGAGCTTAACCGCATGGTTATAGCTCAAGGAAAAAACTTCACAACTCTTACAATGGGACAGATTCACCAATTGACCCTAGAAGCAATAGACAAGCTGTAATATCCCAGAAAAATAGTAACAATAAAATTAATAATAATAATAATAATAATAATAATAATAAAATAATAATAGTAGTGTGTACCCTTATGTATGGTGTTATAGGCATTGATTGTTAATAGTGTGTTATAATTTGACTTTAAAATTGTTGTGATTGCAAGACAAAGAAGAAGAACCATTTCAAAAAGTTCGGGAGAAGAAGGCGAACAAGTCAAAGAAGAAATTCAGATTTTTCAAGAAGAAGAGATTTCGAGGAAAAACCAAAGGGCAAAAATGCTTCATTTGCAAGAAGAAAAGTCACTATGCAAAAAATTGTCTTAACAAAGCTGTGAAGATGATCAATGCTTTAGACCTTGATGACAATAATGCAAAATCATTGTATTTTGAACAAAGTTTTGAAGATCAAGAAACAATCTTTGCTCTTCAAGACTCTTCCAGTGAGTCAAGTATTTCAGAAGATGATGTTCCAGTCTTAGCAAATCATGAAGTTTATCATCTTAGTCCAGCTATACCGAAGCCCAATGTAGAAGTCCACATTCTCTCACCCAGATTTAGACATCCGAAGAGGGTAATTGCTTACATGGATACTGGTGCTCAAAGGTCCACGATGGATCCAAAGATCTTACCACCATATGCTTGGAAGAAAGAAGCAACTTATTTGGTTGCAGCTAATGGAAAGATGTTCAAAACTGAATTGGTCACCAAACATCCCATTGGAATAAGATTCTCCCCGGAATGTGTTATTTGAACCAATGTAATTGGGACTCTATTGCCTAATAAAGATATTCTCATAGGAATGGATGTCTACATCCAGACTCGGAGACTTCAAATTCTTCCATAGGGCATAAAATTCAAAAGAGAGTTCAAATCCTATTCAAAGACAATGAGGTTATATGCACTCTCTGAAGCACCCCTGAACTTGATTTCATCAAAGAAAAACTTAATCCCTTATGTGCAGATAATCATGAAGGATTCTCAAATCCTAATCGTTTATGGAAAAAGCAAGAATTTCTCATTCAACTTCCTTTCAAGCTAAATGAAGGTATCAATCCTACAAAGGCGACTCATCCTGGCATGACTCCTTCAGATCTTCAACTAGCTAGACAATAGTGTCAATAACTCTTGAAGCAAGGATTGATTGAATCAACCAAGTCTCAATGGGCGTGTCAAGCTTTCTATGTTGAGAAGAGATCAGACAAAATTCGAGGCAAGAAAAGATTGGTGATTGATTATAAGTCTCTCAATCATTTTCTGCACGATGATAAGTTTCCTATTCCAAAGGCCTCTACTCTTCCAATCTTGATGAAAGATGCTCATATATTCTCCAAGTTTGATCTTAAGTCTTGATTTTGGCAACTTGGTGTTGATCCTGCTGATAGACATAAGACTGCATTCTGCATTCCAAATGCTCAGTGTCAATGGAAGGTGATGCCTTTTGGTCTCAAGGTCGCTCCTTCATTGTTTCAAAAAGCAAAGACCAAATTTTTTGATCCTATCCTAGACACTATACTCAACTACATTGATGATATTCTGTTATTTTCCAAAAATATGGATTCTCATAAAAGGTTGCTTAATCAATTTGCTTAGATAGCCCACAAATATGGAATCATGTTACCTGAGAAGAAGATTCATTTAGCCCAATCTGAAATTGATTTTCTGGGCATGCATTTCTGCAAAGGAATGTATCAACCTCAGCCACACATTGCAGAAGTGCTTCTAGATTTCCCAGATGAAAATCTCACTGTTAAACATATTCAACAATTTCTTGGAATTGTTAATTACATCAGAGATTTCATTCCTCATGCAGCAAAGTACACAAGTCTTCTTTCTAAATTGTTAAAGAAAAATCCTCCACCTTGGAGCCCTGAATAGACAAAAACAGTTCAAGAACTCAAGAAGATAGCACAAAGTCCTCCTGCATTAAAGATTTCTAGTACAAGTGAAAGAATATTGCAAACAAATGCTAGTGATCATTTCTGAGGAGCTGTTCTCATAGAAGAAGTTGATAGCAAAAGGCACTACTGAGGACATGCAAGTGGACAATTCACAGATGCTGAGAAACATTATCACACCACTTCCAAATAAGCACTGGCAGTTAAGAATTGAATCAAGAAGTTTGACTTCCATCTTCGTGGTTACAATTGTGAAGTCCAAATGGATAATTCCTCCTTTCCAAAGATCTTGGAATTCAAAAACAAAATGCCACTTGATCCTCAGATTCTCAGACTAAAAGATTGGTTATCAAGGTATGATTTTACTGTTAGACATGTCAAAGGAAGCCATAACACCATCCCTGATTTTCTATCCAGACCACCCATATCCAGACCTCTTATTATTATCCAAGTCATTTCCAACACAACTAGTTTTCCTTTGATATTCATGAAGGAACCTCTTCCTCCAAGAGCCAAATACAAAAGAAACTATCCTCCTGGATTAGGAAACCCAATTTCTATCATTCAAATCCAAAATTTTGCTATATAACATTACTTCTACTACCTTCACAGAACAATGAAAGCAAAAAATGTTATGATTGCAAATTTTAATCCTGAAGTTCCTTATCTAGGAATTTTAGAGATATTTTGTGATGTTGGTTTTGATATTATCTTAGATACTTTTTGGAGTATATGGTGCCTAACAGTCCATTCCTAGTTCCTTTAGCCTTGGCAGTCCGAAGAACTTATAAGATTCTCACTGATCCTGAGAAATCAGATTATAATCTACGGACACTACTGAAATGGTATTCTCCATTATCTTGGTGGAGAAAAGAGCTACATAAGATCATCCAGTCTAAAGTATGAGAGGGAAAGACACAGAAAGAAATTTCAAAGGTTGTTGTTGTCTTCATCATCCACAGACCTTATTGGCAAAGACCAGGTGGATTTATATGGTCTCAAAACATAGCCTATCTATGGGATATTTTGATGGTTATCCGTTAGATCCAATCTCTAAGACCAAACTGTTGCAACATATAAAAGAGATAAATGGATATGATGATCATCAAAGATCCACAAGACAAGTAGACCCATTTTAAGCAAATTCTTCTTAAGGCCCAAGTTTTCAAGATCCAAGCTCTTCACTAGGCCCAAGTCCAATAGAAATTGAACTTGTTTTTGACCTAGTCCAAGAACCAGAAAAGCTTAATAAGTCATATTTTGATCTTTCTCTTGATTATATCTAGAAAGATCCGAATGCTGACATCATGGATAAAATAATGCAAGAAAAGATGCAGACTGACAAAGGATGGTATCACAATTTCTACGAGGATGACAACTCAGAAGAAAGGAAACAACTCAATCTGTCACTTAGTAGCGATGACTAAGGAGACAAGATCACTTTCAAAGATTCCATTTAGTCAAAAGTCACTTTATGTTGTGTGGTTGTAATTTAAAGTTGCTTTAATAATTTTGGCTTTAGTGTGTCGAAGTCAAAAAGTTTGTCATGTTAGTTTGGTTTGTATTGTATTTAGTCAAAAAGCCTAGTTTGCTTAGTCAAAAGACTATATCTAGGTTTTGGTTTATCGTAACTTCGTCAATATTTTACCTTCAATCAAACATAGACTCAGAAAATTTAACCCAATTTTTTCAGTAATATTTTGACCTATCAAACATCTTTTTTTTTAACTTTCCTACCAAACTCACTTTCCTACCATATTCCTAGTAATTATATTTCCCTCGTAAATTTTTTTTCCTCTACCAAACGCCCCTTAAAAGGAAGTTTAGAAATTTTTGTAAGATATCGAAGAATCATATCCAGTTTGAGAAATAAAAACTTGTGAATATGTTCTAAGTTTCTCTCTTCTTTTTAAAAGCCAATTATAATGTTGTTACTATAATTACTATCTCTCAAAGAGAAAGCAAACATGCTCCACACTTGCCCTGCCAAAGGATCCAGTGTATTAGAAAGTAACTCTGATATGATCCAGTATTACAGTCCTCTTATCTTTAAGGATTCATGGGTGATAATCGTGTGGAAAAGAGCTAAGAAGTTATGGTGTGCTGTGGAATGCTCCGTGTTAATGACTAATTCATGGATTCTTAGAGATTGTGAGGCTCCCGACCATTTTGCAAAATTAAAAAAATTACATTAAAAGGGTCATTGATCCAGAAAATTCATTCTGAAAAATAAGATTATTCAATCTCGAGACAAATTGTCAAAGAAACCGAATAAAAATAAAAATAAAAATTAGACGGAGTGGATCGAGCTAAAGCTCTATAGTTGAGAGCAGTGTTATTAAACCCGGACCAACCCGGCCGGGTCGACCCGGGAACCGGTAAACAGGTCATATAACCGGTCCGGTTGAAACAACATACCGACCATGCATCAGAACCGGTGCGACTCGGTTCGACCCGACCGGTTTTCATAAAAAACCGGTGACCCGGCCGGTTAACCGGTAACCCGACCCGGTCCTAAAAAAAAATTTCCAAATTTTTTTTTTCAAAAAAAGTCATAATGGAAATATTTGAATATTTTTTTGCTTTTTGACTTACATAAGTGATGTACCTACAACACTAATATTATCTCAATTATGTACTATGCAGAAATTTTTTAATTAATTTATAGTTAGAGATATCATTTTCTGAACCTAAAGCCCCGTATCACGATCAACATATTTTTGTTTGATCTTTTATTAAATAATAATATGTGATTTAATACTTTTTACATTAAAATGTTTAAAATTTTTATCATTTTTTTTAGATATTTGAGTATGTTTGTAATTTTTAATATAAATTATAAAATTACATATAATTATCGGGTCATGCGATTGAACCAGTGACCCACTGGTTAAACCAGTGACCCAATAACTCAATACCTCGACCGAGTCAATGACCGAGCCAGTTTTAATAGCATAGTTGAGAACAATAAATAAGAAACCCAATTCGTGGACCTCACTTGAATGTCTAAACCCTAAAATTTCCAAATAGCCCAGGCCCACTCCTTTTTCTTTCTGCATCTTTTTTTTTTCTTTCTGTTTTTCTATTGCTTTCTTGTCTCTTCTCGCTCTCATAGATCGCCGGCGTCTTCTCCGTTCAAGTTGCAGTCTCAACCTCCCCGGCGTCGCCACCCATCTCTCTGGGGTAACCTCTTCTATTCTCGTTCTGTCTCTACCATGCTTCGCTTATCTTTAAAATTCAGTTCCAGCTATGCTTCCTAACTGGTATTCAAACGTCAGCATATAAACCATCAATGGGTCCTTTAATTTTTCAATGAGATGAATTTCTTAGTGTCTTTTTTTCTTATATATTTTGGGAGATTTGTTTATTTTATTTATGTATTGTGTTTTCTATGATGGGTGTGAGTTGCATAAGTGAAAAAAGGCGAGTGAGTACCTAGAACAGTTATTCAAGTCTTGGAGCATCCTATGAATAGAAATGGAACAAAAATTCATAAAATAAAGGTTACTATTTTATGAAGAACAAAAGCATTCTGCTTAGAATCATAAATCATATAACTTGCAGCAAGTTGTGCTACCCTCTGCATGTACACATCATTAGCTGTTTATACTTATTAATTGAAGTAAAAAAAAAAAAGGAGCAGTCCTTTACCTTAAACAGTTATGCGTTTAGGACTAAACGATAGTAGCTAATTTGGTGCAAGGAAACTGAGCAGGTGGGGGTGAGAGCATTGTTCGATCCTTCTCAGTACCGTCATTGGGAGGGGTCTAAAGTCTTAATTTCGGAACTCGCCCCGAATCGGATTAGTCGCGAAGCGATGAACCAATTGGAATATCTCCAAAAAAAAAATAACAACTATGTGTTCAGGGGCTGTAGTGTTTTTACTGGTGTGCCCAAGAGGAATAACACTTTCTTTGGGGGCTAGGTTAATGGATTCATATTTTTGAATTTTTTTGGATAAGAGGTGCTATCCCTACAATAGTTAGAACAGATATAGAGAGGAATTTGGTTATGATGGATGAAGGGAAAATAAAGTATCTGAAGAGGTTCAATTCATAAATTAACCTTTGCCGAGGGAACCCTTAGTTATATGGTACTTAATACTTCGAGTAGCTACTTCTTCGGTTTGTGATTGAACTACATAAGCATCTATTGGTCTGTTGAAAGGTTTTGCTACAAAAGATTTTTAGATTTGGTCTCGTTATGTGCAAGGTGTGATTTCCAACTTGGTGGATATTGTTATGAACTCTAACACAAAGAAGGAAGCAGAATGAAAGGTGGCCATAGTTTGTTAGCATCCTGAAAATTTACAAGATTACAGTATTTGTTTGTCCCTTAAGCCGGGTGAATGTTTTCTTGGTGATCAGATGAGCAACGGCATTAGACTTTTGTTATTGTAGACTGTTTATTTATAATTTTTTCTTGACATATGAACTTTTTCTCTCTCAAATAAAATGAGTAAAGGACATAAAATCTTTCAATTATGGGTTTTTTATCTGTAAATCAAAAAGTAGTTGACATTTTCCTGGTTGGATGTAGGATAATGGGGCGGAAAGCTGGCGGGCTTTATATCAACCCGAAGAAATTTGGTTCTCTTCATAAACCTTGCATGCAGGAAATGATAATGTTTCTCAACTGTTTGACTTCAAACCATGGCGACAATGATGCATGTGCTAAGCAGAAGGAACTATTAAATACCTGTTTGGATTCTCAGGTATTATAAATATTAGTTTAATGAAAGCTGTCATCTTTTGCTACCCTCTCCTTCTCGGGGTACCCTTTTTTAGTTGTTTTTGTCATATTGCATGAGAACTGAGTAGAACCAAAAAAATCTTCAATTTTGTTTTTTCAGAGTAAAAAGAACAGAAAGTCTTGGGGGAGTATCAATTATCAACTGCAGAGGCTTGGCCGAGGAAGGAAGTAGTTTGAGATTTTCAGATATGAATCAATTTTACAATTCAAGGTGGATTTTTGGAAAGCTTAGCATGTTATGGCAATGCTTTGGTTGTCAAGCTAAAATAAACATATTGTAACTTGTATTTTATCTTTAAATATCTTGATGATGAAATTTCTAGTTTTTCAATATTTTAACCATTCAATTAAGTTAAAACTTAAAAGAGGTTGTGGAATTATGTTGTAGAATGCCAATGTAATTTCTTTTCTATATCAATTAAAGCTCCAATGTGCTGCATATCATTTATGACACCATCACATTGTGTGTGATATTGTTGTCGCTGCCCTTCATATGATACGTTCTGTTAATTGATGAAGATGATAGGTTATGTTGCATTGTTTTTCAATGATGGTGTGTTGGCTGATTGATCATTTTGCCCTTATTTTATTGTTTTTGTACCATTTTGCTCCTCTTCCCAAATTATATATGGATCTGCACATGTTTGATCAAAGTTTGAACAAATCCTTGTCTTTGATAAGTCATTTATTCAAGTAAGTATCGGTCAAACATGGATAAATTGATATATAATTTGGGAAGAGGAGCAAAGTGATAATTTTTTAAAAAGAAACTGGGGCAAAATGCTCAATCAACGACGGAGTGTTGATAAACGTCAGTCATCTGATGCTTTATTTACATCGATTTGGGAAGATTGAAAACACATTCTTTCACAATTGATGAAAATGATGGATTGTGTTGCATTGTTGTTCACTGGTGGAATGCTGATGACTAATGCCCATCTGATGCTATATTCAATCTGATTTCGGAAGATTGGACAAAGTTAGCGATGCTTATTATTTTTATGCTTAAAGGATGATATGTGTAAACCATCTACTTTCAAGAGAATGAACTTACTGTTCAAAGTTTTTAAGTTCTGGTCAAGCTCTATAGGCTGCAGTTGGGTTTACGTAACCTTTTCTCGTTTATTTATCTACAGCTCACGCGAAAAAAGGGGATCTTTGCCACAATGAGTTTGAGTCCGTTAGGTGGAAACACTAATCATAATTCAGGAGCATGTTGCCCTGCAAAGATTGATTTTACGTAACCTTTTGCATCTTTTAGTCTAAACCCACTTTCATCAGATGGTAGATGTTGCATACTCACTTGTAATGCAGGGTGATATGGGACGATAAGTGATAAATGAATTCTTTTACTGAAGGACCAACTTGTAAATAAAATTATTCGGGGGGTGAAATTGTGGAAAAAAATTCTTGCTTTTTTTAATTTGATTAAACTGGCAAAACTCCCATAGACTTGTTATTTCAGGTCATATAGTTGGTGCTACCATGCATCCCCAACTAAAGTACATTAAATATGGAAGAAGTTATTCCAATTTTGACTGGTTTGGCTGTTGATTTTCCGGTTCAACACTTCCCATCCCCATTTGTTCCCACTTGAGTCCTGTATGCGAGTGCTGTTCTGGCACATTAATGACATGGATTCATTTGGTTATTAAGGTAGAGTGTGCCTGTGGAGAAACGCTTGAGAACCACTTTTCACTTTTGTCAGTTGTTCAATGCTTCCTATGTAGCACTTCTTCTGTGTGGTAATCTAGCTTTGGATCTCTCTGTTTGCTATTCTGACTTCAGACTTTAATTGCCCTTTATCTCAGCGAGGGCTTCTTCCATTTTGGTCTTAGTAGAAGGATCTCTGAAGTGAATGCAGCAAAGCATGTCAAATGGACATAAGCTAATTACAATAGGAGACCCGAGATTTGGGTTTTAGAATAATGTTATTTCATGCTTCTTTTCACTTATATATAGTCATTGTTTTCTTTATTTTTTTTCTTCCTAATTCAGATTTTTTTTTTGGAGTTAACTCAACTCTAATTACTTTTTTGAGGCGAGTTAGCTTTCTCTGATATTCTCACAAGCTTCGACACTCTTTGAGCCGGCTATGAGACTAATCCGGAGTGCGGGACGGGTCAGGGATGAAGATATTTAAACCTCTTCCAAAGGTGACATGTGTGATCGAATCAAGGTCTTTTTCTTTCCACTTACTCAGCTCCCTTACTACCAACTGAACTACCACTATTTGGTCCTAGTTCAGAATTTTAATTAATACAATTCGAGCCATGTGGAACTGATACAATAAGTTCCAACACTATTGATATGAATCCAATCCACATGAGATATTAGACTCAACTCATGAGTGGCCCAAGAGGTCCGACAGTCAAGATTTACAAGTTAAGGAAACGCGTATATCCCATGTTGATGTCATTCCGTAGACATATAACTATTGTAGCAACAGCTCAGACCTCTACAATCATCCTAATAGCCAATAACTAAGGGACATACATATGATTTCAGCTATACCTAAAAGGCATAACCCACAATTAGGCTTCCCACACACGGGATAGTCTGCAAAAGTCACTTCAACCCACCAATGGAATTAAATTTCGCCATATTAAGGCAATATAAACATGCCAATCAACTACTATATATTGGAGGCTTAATGTTTAAGTATGATCATATGATCCATCTTTATAAAAGCTCATTGATCAAATACTGACTTGAGTATCGGAATGTCTTGTAGGTACCTTCCACATTTGTCCCAACCAAAGAAGATCATCCAACACTATTCTTCTGTCCTGCAGAAGTATTCCGCTTTGACATCCATCTCGAAGAAGACTGTGCTATTAAACTCAACTGTGTATGGTTTAGCCTAATATTTCCCTGACAAATCAACTATTTTTCCTATTTCCGAACTCAAAATCAAGATATTTAATTAAGAAAAGTAAGCTTAAACCAATGATCTTGATTGTCAACTTATTTTTATTCTTGTATTTCTTACTTATATTTCCTTGATCCTTTAGGGGGTCACTCGCTGTTTTATGTTGTTCCTAAATTTTATGACGTCATTTTTTTTATTTGCTACTCATGAAATTCCTTTATCTTGCTAAAAAGTAAAAAGAAACAAAAAAATCACTACACAAGGAAAAATGTTCCTCCCGTGACATTTGATAGAATAGGGTTATCCAAATATGAGGTATGATTAGTAGAAAAAAAAAATTTAAATAATACTTCGTCTGTAAGTTCTAAACACTGTCAATGCTTACTTAACTACGTGTATATACATACATAACAACTAGAAAAATGCCTCGAATCTCAGGGCATTACAACTGCATAAATACGAAATCCAGTGAGAATGTGGGTGGCAAAAGATAGGAAAATTAATAGCCATCGAAATGCTTGAATTAACAATTTCTATGCACAGGATCATGCTTTTAGAAGTTATCGTTGGATCTTCTATAAAATTTTATTTGTGCTTTCTTGTCTTCAACTACATCAACTAGATATCTGCATCGATTGTGTAAGGGAAAATTGCAAGCAGAAATTGGTCAGTAAGGGGTTGGGGTCAGGGTTCAAAACTGCAACACATCAATAATGACATAATCCCAGCATGAGATTTGACAATTCAAAAAATTACACTAATTAACTTAGCATTTATAATGAGGAAAAATGAACATGACAGAAAAATCATGGACCAGATCGTATTCAAAACAGGTTTCGCTCCCTTCGTAAGCAAGATTAATTGACCTTCATGGACGAAAATAAATGCCTTGCACTGTCCTGATTAATATTCGCCTAATGTTACCTACTTACCACATACGAGATAGGGGATAAATTATTCTATCTATTTTTTTTTCTGTTTATTTTTTCTTACCATTCTTTAATATCATTAGATCAAAATATCAATAGAAAAGAGAAATAATAAAGATAATTGAGATTCTGATCTAATAATATTGAAGAGTAGTAGACAAAGGTAAGCCAAAAAAAAGATAGGTAGAATAAATTATTCTTTCCTTTAAAATACCATTTAAAAACTTTAAAAAAATAAATTAATAATTATTACTTGCTAGGGTTATGATGTCTTTTTTGATATTAAAAGCCATTTCATTATGAATATGTGAATAAATATCTTTTAAGGTTTTTCTTTTTTTAAAACCACTGTTTAGTTAATATATTTAAATATGAAACTGATTTTAACATAATCAAATAAAAAACAAAACTTATCATCCACCTAATTGATTATCGGGATAGGTTATTCTTACACTAGTGTAATAAATAAGAAATATTACATCAAATCTTGGACATTGATATATATACTTGTATCTAACAGCTTAAATATTTAATAAATCAAAATTGTTAGATATATATAAATAAGATCAATGATCAAGATTAAAAGCGTAAATTATATCAGTATAAAATAATCTTAACTCTTGATTATCAAGTAACATTTTTGGTAAGTCCAAATTACATGCTCAAACAAATGTATATTTCTCAAACGTCAAGAGTTTGTATAGTTGGTAAGCATGTTATGCCCAAGATATATATTGTTGGGGTTAAAAAGTCTTTGATTCAATTTTCAGACAAAATAATTTAGAACTATAGTGAAGAAATCTTCACATTTTATGCCACAAATATACTTGAAAATTAATAAAAGGAAAATGACTTTTATGTTTGTGGTGCCTATATAGAATAATTTTATGAAATTTTTATTCTTTAAATATATGAAAAGTTAATTATAATTATTTATAATTATCTTTTTTAAGGAGGTTGTGTTTATTTGTATGACTTGAGAAGAACACCGCATTGTTGACTTTCTCCAAAAAAAAAGAAAAAAGAAAAAGAAAGAAAAAAGGGTAGAGATGAAGATGATATATGTAGGGATTGCTTGGGAACGAAGACAAAATACTAAAAATGTTTAGTTAGCCTTTTTCTAAAAATGGAGGTTTCTTGAAGGAAGACAAACATTTCCAAACGTGAGCATCACCACTTTTTCCATAAATTGAAGGAGTGTTGAATTCTGAGACAAATGATAATGGAAAGAGAGATTGACACAAACAAGACAGCGTGATAGAAGAGGGGGGCGAAGGGGGGGCTATTCTGACTGAGATTTGCTTCCCTTAACAAAACCAAACAAAAGCCAATAGGCTAAGAGAAAGGGAATATTATGACTCATAGAAAGAAGAAAAGGAATAGTCAGAAAGAGCAAAAGACAGCTTCTTTTACATTGACTGAATGAATGAAACTTGTGTATGGTATTGCTATGAGTATGAGTACTGACCAACACTTCTGATCCTCCAAAGCTTTTCCTACTTCACGCCTCTCTCTGCATCATTTCGATGGGATTGGACGTACCTTTTATCTGACAAACTCTTTCTATCATTCTCATCTTGTTCATATAACTTTATATCAACATACAACACAACTAATATCCAAAAAAACATACAACACAACAAATTAAATGCACTAATTGAATAATCTTTATATGACTACCCAACAAAATAATCTTAATTTATAAAATCTATTCATGCAAACATTACTCTCTCTTTTTCATGAATGATTAATATTTATAATTTTTATCACTAAGTAAGAGAATTGATTGGTATAAGATTATTTCAGCTTAATCAATACTCCTGAAATCAAGTTTTGGATAAGCAATTATATTAAAAGAGATATGTTATTTTACCTATCTTTTTTCTACTTACCATTGTTTATCACTCTCTAATACTATCAGATCATAATCTCAATTAACTTTATTATTTTGCTCCCTTATTAAAATTCTGATATAATGATATTGAAGAGTAATAGGAAAAAATAGACAAAAAAAGATAGATAAAATAATCTATCTCATATTAAAAAAGAGAATTGTCATCCTTAAAAAAGATAGGTAAAATAAGTGGTTACTGAATTAGTCGATTTAATCAATAAATAGATCGGCGGAGAAAATTTAGTAAAAGAAAATATTTATAGTGTTTACTTGTATCTTTCATTTTGGTTCATTTACCACCGATCTCAATTAATTTGGGATAAAGATGTTATTGATGTTGATGTTGACTTGTTAAGTTCAAAATAAACCAAAACAGAAAATAGTTAATGTATGAATTAATATAAAAAAATATAAAGACTAAAATTCAGATAAATAAAAAATTATAGGTATCAACATTTTATTTAAACCAAAATTCAATGTTTGGAACTAAAGACATATTTATTACTTTGATTTATTTTTTGAAAAACTATTGTCATTAAATTAGCTATAAATTTTTATTCCGTGATACAAGAAAATCTAAAATTTTACTCTTACAAATAATAAAAAAAATTACTTTTTTCAAAATTTACACTTGAACATAAAAAGTTATAATTTTTTAGTAAACATTTTAAGTAACTTATTTATATAACTTTTTCACTAAACATATATGCCAAATAAAACATTTTTGTCGCTTACCAAAAAAAAAAAAACATTTTTGTCAAATTAATATTTTCCTTTTTCTTGCTAGAGTCGTCATCTACGTACATACATTTGGATTTCACTTCACATTGACGGGGCTATTTTGTCCCTTTGTGTGAATAAGCAGTGGTTTTTTTTTACTAATATATATATATATATATATATATATATATATATATATAGGCATGTTCATTTTACATTAATATAAGACTAACAAGTCTTACACCACATCTTAATCATTGATGAAACGAAAATCATCGGTTGGTATTTGTAGTGTAATTAATGATTAATTAATATTAATTAATTCGTATGACTTCCTAAATTATAATCGTTGGATGCACGAAAATCAACGGTTGAGATGTGGTACCGGTGTAAAATGATCCTGATCCACACACACATATATATATATATGGAAAAACTATTCTCATGCTACATGAAATATGTTTTTTCTCTTACACATTCTTCAACTACTGTGCCATTTTTTTCTTTTTTTTTCTTTTTTATTTTTTCAGGTGGTGGAGCCCACAAATTTGTTTCTATAACATGAGATAACTTATCTCCTTTAACACGAGATTAATAAAATCTTATATATATATATATATATATATATATATATATATATATATATATGGGAAAAATATTTCTGCAGTTACTGCAGACAAGTTATCTGCATTTTTTTCAAAACGACATCGTTTTTGTATTGAAATCTTAAAAAATTATAAATATAAAGACTATTATAACACTGAAATAAATTAAAATTACAAAAACACAATGATTTTCGGCTCAAAACGACGTCGTATCGGGCTTACTGCAGATAACTTATTTGCAGTAACTGCAGAAAAAGCAAACTCTATATATATGGGCTTATCATTTCTCAAGCTGCCGGAGATAATTTTATTTCTGGCTAGTAAATCATAACCGTACAAAGATGGATCAATGATGATAAAGGAAGAGAGAGAAAAACAGAATCATAACCATTCAAAGATGAATTAAGTAATATAAGTAAATAAATAAACAAAACGACGTAGTTTTGGGGTGGCCGGATATAAACTTATCTCACGTTGCCGGAGAAATGTTTCTCCTATATATATATATATATATATATATGTGAGGTAGATCCTTTGACACTAGTGTCAAATTTAAAATTTGACACCTCATCTGAGAACCGTTAGATGAAAAAAGATCAACGACTCTGATTTGTAAGCATGTGACATCATTGATCTTTTTCTATCTAACAGCTATTAGATGAGATATCAAATCTTAAATTTGACACTGATGTCAAAGGATCATATATATATATATATATATATATATATATATATATATATATATAGGCAAAAGTATTTCTACAGCAACTTTAGATAAGCTTATCTACCGCTGCCATTTTTAACTATATTCTCCTATGAGAATATTGTTATAACGTTAAAGTTGCTCTTTTTTTCTCTCTCCTCATTTACTTTTCAGAACTTTTTTGATGACGTGGAGAGAGAGAAAATAACAACTTTAACGTTATAACTATATTCTCCCAGGAGAATATAGTTAAAAATTGCAGCTGTAGATAAGCTTATCTAAAGTTGTTGTAGAAATATTTACCCCATATATATATATATATATATATATATATATATATATATATATATATATAGGAGAAGAATATTTTGAATCCAGAATAAGATTTCTAAGTCTTACTCCTTATCTCATTCGTTGATTTCTGTTCATCCAATAGTTATAGTTTAGGAAGTCATATAAATATATATATATACGAGGAATGTTATACTTACAACCTTGTTTTTTACAACCTCTTACAACCATATATCATAACCGTTGATTTTCGCCAATCAACGGTTGTCATTTATTATGAATTAATAATTAATTAATGAGTTTAATTTGCGAAAATCATAACTGTTGATTGGCGGAAATCAACGGTTATGATATATGGTTGGAAGAGGTTGTAAAAAAAAAAGGTTATAACTATAACCTCTCCCTATATATATATATAAAAGGATTAATGTTTTTTAATATTATAGAAGATGATTTTATCTCCTACAAACACACATAAAATTGTGTGAGACCATGTGAAGAGAAAAGAGAGAAAAAGAAAATATGAACCCCACATACTTTTATGTGTGTAAGAAATAAAATTATTCATATAAGATTAGAAACATTAATTTCAAGGATACCAAAAAAAAAAAAAAGGAGACATTAATTTCATACATATATTAAAAATATTTTTATTAAAAAAGTAAAAACATTTTGAAAAAAATAATAATATCTCGACATAAGTATTTTAAGAATTAAAGTAAAAAATATTATTTTATTTTGAACATGAGCAGGAAGGGACAAAAAAATAAAAAAATAAAAACACCACTCATGAGATATTCTTTTCAGAAATTGGTTTGGGTTTGGATGAGCATTGAATAATAAGCATTAAGCAGTATTTTATATATATATAATGTGGGCAGTGTTCGTACTAGCATGGAGTTTTGCTTTCATCAATAGCATCTGTCTCTCTCTTCTGCAACATCGTCCTTCCAACCTCGGCCTTGACAAAACAACACTGAAATGATAGATGCATTCACCACACTCACTTGCCTTTTCTTTTCCACCAAAAGAAACCAACATAGATAGATAGATAGATATGAATGAATATATATCAATAAAGAATTGAACAAAAAGGTCCACTTGGATCTTATATATATATATACTTGTCCATCCCTACCAATGCCAACAAGACCCCAATAATTTCTTCACATGTGATGTGAGAAGAGTGAGGAACCAAAACCAACTTCAAAATCACGTCCTTTGTTCCATTTCTGGTTGTGTTCTTCTTCCAAATCTCCTTCCCTAATTCTCTCCACTCTCCAATTCCACTGAAAATGAGGAACAGAATCAAACAACCAACCATATCCCAGGTGATTGCTAGCTATATATGAGTCAGCAACAACTACCCTTCCAAAAACCACTCTTGTAAGCTATTTATTGCTTTCCCCTCTTAGGTGCTTCCCTAATAACAACACTTTCACTAACATTTCCACCACTATCTTTCTGCATCAAAAGAAGAAACTATGTCTAACCTTTCCCTTTAACATTAAAGGCAACCCTACCTAGTACTTTTACACTTCTCTATATTTCCCATTTCCTCCATTTTTTATTTTATTTTTTGTTTAGTTTCCACTGAAAGAAAGAAAACCCATATAACATAAATATGGATGGTTTTCACCCTTCTATCAGTTCTATGACATCTCCTTTTTCTTACACATTCCCTATTAGTGGTGTTGCTGGTAGTAGTAGCAATGTTACCATTGCCACCAGCACTTACAGTAGTACTCCATGGATGAACAGCAGAATATGGAGTAAGCTTCCTCAAAGGCTTCTTGATCGTGTCATAGCTTTTCTTCCTCCACCTGCTTTCTTTCGTTCACGTTGTGTTTGCAAGAGATGGTATGGTCTTTTGTTTTCCAATACCTTTCTTGAATTATACCTCCAAGTCTCACCACGCCGCCATTGGTTCTTGTTCTTCAAGCACAAAACCCGAAAGAGCTATATCTACAAGAACAACAATGGTGGCAGCACTGGACATGGTGGTGGTGGTGGTGAAGGGTACCTCTTTGATCCCTATGATATGTCATGGTACCGTATTTCCTTTGCTTTTGTTCCTTCTGGATTCTCTCCAGCATCTTCATCTTCAGGGTTACTCTGTTGGGTTTCAGATGAGGCTGGTCCAAAAACCATGCTTCTATGCAACCCTATAGTTGGTTCTTTAACTCAGTTACCTCCAACATTGAGACCAAGACTCTTCCCTTCTATTGGCTTAACCATTAGCCCAACTTGCATAGATGTTACTGTTGCTGGGGATGACATGATATCTCCTTATGCAGTGAAAAACTTAACATCTGAAAGCTTTCACATTGATGGAGGTGGGTTTTATTCCATGTGGGGAACCACATCTTCTCTGCCTAGGCTCTGTAGCCTTGAATCTGGTAGAATGGTTTATGCAGAGGGGAAATTCTACTGCATGAATTGTAGCCCTTTTAGTGTGTTGGCTTATGACATTACATCAAACACTTGGTTCAAAATCCAAGCCCCAATGAGGAGGTTCCTTAGGTCACCAAACTTGGTTGAATGCAAAGGGAAACTACTCCTTGTTGCTGCAGTTGAGAAGAGCAAGTTGAATGTGCCAAAGAGTTTAAGGGTGTGGAGTTTGCAAGCTTGTGGAACAATGTGGGTGGAATCAGAGAGAATGCCACAGCAACTTTATATTCAGTTTGCAGAATTAGAAGTTGGGAATGGTTTTGAATGTGTAGGGAATGGGGAGTTTATTGTTATAATGATAAGAGGAACAGATAAGGCATTGCTGTTTGACATATCAAGTAAGAGATGGGAGTGGATTCCACCATGTCCATACACTGCAAATGATGGCTTTGAATTGCATGGTTTTGCTTATGAACCTAAACTTGCTACCCCAGTTACTTCCCTCCTTGATCAATTGGCACTGCCCTTTCAGAGTTATAATGCTTAAATGTGGAAATGGTTTATTATATAATTTATGTAATGTAATGGTATGGTAGTATATATGGCAATCTATGACTCCTTCTGTAGTATTATTATTTTTATTCAGTACACTAGTCAATATATTTATCACGTAGCGCAGTTCTAAGCAACTAGCTTATAGCTAGCTTGGATTTTGGAAATGCAATTAGAAGTAGCCTCCTTTTGCAGTTACAAAAATGCTATTTCTTTTTATTTATTCCTCGTTAATAATTAGTATATATCATAAAGGAATAATGAAACAAAGAATAGGAAGCAGGCTATAGAATAGCTTTTAACAAATTCTAAATTTTTATAAAGACGTTAATTAGAATAAAACTAGTTACGTTTTTATTTTATTTTCCTCTGTTGCTTAATGGAATGCAAATAGCTAGGTTCCAAGTTAACTATTTCTAATAGACATGTTGCATTTAATGCATCAAGTCATATCCAACAAATTACAAAGGTATTTCGTTTGACCAACCGCGTGAATACATTGTTGAGTGCAAATTATATATCAAACTTTAAACTTTTCTAAACAACCCATCTTTCATGTGAAAATTTCTTTCAAATCACCATGTTATATGGAATATCTTAGTCATTCATTTATAAATTAATGGTGATAATTTTAATCAGGGTGACAATTTCTGACACGACCCGCTAATCTGATCCGGACCCGACACGAAATTTTCGTGTTTGGGTCAACCCGCTTACTGTTCGGGTTGAAGAAAAATGACCCGAAAAAATTTGTGTCGGGTTCGGGTCAACTCGTTAACCCGCTCTGACGCGCAAATAATTTTTGTATAAGGTTATTATAGTCATTTTTGTGAGTGGTATAAAAGAAATAACATATACTTAGAGTTTCAAACAACCCTTTTCACTCTTATTGGATGTATATGCTTTTATTGGATGTAAAATCAGTGCCTAAATACAAGTTTTGAATGTGAGTATTCCAAAATTCGTGTCAGGTCGGGTCAGGTCGAGTCGTATTAACACGTGTAATAATGGGTCATGGTTACATTATAAGATTATTCGTGTCGTGTCGTGTCTACCTGAAAAAAAAGCGGGTCGTGTTCGGGTTGAGATTTTTCGTGTCGTGTAAAATTCGGGTCGGGTCGAGTCGACACGAATTGCCACCCCTAATTTTAATGAATAAATTTGTGAAATAAAAAAACGAAAAATTATCACTTTAATTGCTCACGGTTGATTTGTGAATAAATGACTCAGATCTTTCTTATAACCAAGTTAAATAAAATTTTCACATGAGAGAATTTATTCTTTGTGGGCCCTATAAAAAAATAGAGAAAACAAAATCCACCCACTTACATATTTTTGATTTCTACTAGATCCACCGTCTATGATATATCAGCGTGAAACTTTTTTTTTTTTTTCCGGTAATTAGTGTGAAACTTCTTTTATTATATATAGCAACTAAGTTTAGCTATATTGAAGTGTCCTCCTGAAAAATCAAATGTCGTTTTTAAAGTAAGAGTAAACATAATTATATGATTTCATTTAAAGAGAAAATTATTAATATTTATAAAGAGAGAAAAGTTATTGAAAATAAAATTTGTATTTTCTTTTCATACACACGTCTAGAGTGCCCATTCTTGATGAGTTGCTGTTTTTGCTGTTACTAGTACTAATCTACTGTAATGATGTGGTAGTCCGATTGTCATATTGTTTTGTGTCTAATTGAACTGCCATCTTAAAAAAATAAAAAAATAAAACGCAAACAAGAAACAGAATTTTCTTCTTCAAAGAAAATTGTGTTTTTTAAACTACTGAAATGTGAAGTATCCAAAAAGATGAAAATGTATGTGACATATAAATACTACATTATTATTGTTCTGTCTGTGTGACAAAGATGTCTAGTCCAGAATTAGTAGATCAATATGAGATTATGTGCTCTCTCTAGGTATCTATGATTTAGATACCTTGGGAGAAACGAATCACCGTACACAATAATAAGGCTATAGGCAATGGGGGTGGTGTGTGTGCACAGTGATTGTGTTATTGTAAAAGTGAGAGATTAGTCCATATATGTAGTCCTCATCTTCTATTTATAGAGTTTACCTTTAGGGTTTGATTGATTTGAACCTCTTATTGAATAGGCCCAGTTGACTCCTTGCCTAGTTGTCAAGTGATTATTGTTGATGGGCCATCTGAACATATGGGCCTTACACAGGTCCATAATAGCTGCTCCCCAGCCTGGGTAGCTTGGTTGACCAAGGTACCGGGTGCATACGTCAAAGTGACCTTCGGTGGGCTAATTGAAAGCATGGCATATGGGCCTTATACAAGTCCATAACAGGTTACCCCCAGCCGGGTAGCTTGGTTGATCAAGGTGTCAGGGTGCATATACTTGTTACCCATATATATTCTGCTTTGAAGAGAAATTCTTTTATCTGGGTTCCTTTTACATCCCCCAGCCGGGTTAGTTTGTAGACCGAGGTATATACATGGATTATCTTAACCCTTATAGTCGAGATACATGGGTACTACCTCAACTTCACTTTTAATCTGCTGTTGGAGACGTTATCTCTTCCAAATAATGATAACTACTCTGCACGTGGCATATTTTTATACGTCTGCCATGCTCCATCATCTCCCACACCACTTACATTAAATGCAAATTGTCAGTTACGTCCCTCAACCGTCTTATCTGCGTCATGATTTTACCAATTTGCCCTTGCCTTTTCGCTTCGCGATTTTGAACTGTTTAAGTTTCTATTTTCTTTGATTTCATATCCATCTTTTTTCTATCTGCTGTAAACCTTTTATGGCAATCGTCTTCATTTTGGTGCGTCTTGGTTTCTAATCATGCGTGGTTTTTGCTTGCTCTTACTTTCTTTCTCTACTTTCACTATCAGGTATGTTGACAATTCTCCTTCTGATATTTTTTACATGCTCTGTTTGTAACTTGGTATATGCTACTGCCATATGGTTCTTTTCAACGATGTTTTTTCCTATGATTTTGTCTTCATCTTGAGTGCCATTGCATGTGCTATTTGTTATATATAGGTCCCATTACTGCATTTTCCTTTTTGGCTTTTCTTGAATCTGTTTATTGTGGGTTTCTTTACATGACCCATTTCTGCTTTCCTTTTTCCATCCAATAATAGTATGAGTGAGGGAAGTTCTGGTGGACGGGGGAAATCCACTTGCCCTCGTGGCCTTGGCCGAAGTGATGAAATTGACGAGGAGGAAGAGAGATTTATTCAAAGTCTTTCTCCGGGTCCGAGGTATTGGATCTTTGGGAGACCTTAGGCCGAAGAGGAAACAACGCAAGCAGCATTATTGGGGGGTATCGATGAGGCAGTAGTAAAAAAGTGTCATCATCTTGGTCTCCCTCCATTCAGGGTCGAGGTCAGAACTTAGGTCGCGGATATGGGAGCAACCCTGCCTCCATTTTATCTAAACCATCCTCCAAATCATCTCCTTCACTGTCTTCTATTTATCGTTCAGGTATTCAAACTGCCAAACCAACATCCCCTTTTACATCTGCTAGGCCGACTTCAGATCCTTGTTATAATTGTCTCTACCTTAGTGCCCAATTCATTGAGAGAGGTAATGACGCCATGGCCGATTACACGTTAGGTAGCTGCACCCATCAGCAGAGTACTCAAGCTTTGAATTTTAACCCACGTGATCTTAAAGTTCCAACTGATTTCTCGTCTGACTCTTCAAGTTCTTCCAGTAGTAATTTTTTTAGTTCAGATATGTACATTTCTTGTTTTAGTCTTCCCTTCTTGTTGCTCTAGGTTCTTATAGAGTCACCTTCTACAGAAATAGAAGCTGAGGAAATTTCTACCGGGCTAGGATAAAATCTCGAATTAACCTCTGTCGAGAAGGGATCTATTTTTCCCGGAATGGACCTTGTCAGCAAATATCCGCAGGTTACCATGGAGGTCCTAAGTTTCAGATCGAACGTGAAAGCTAAGGACATCTTCGAGCTTCCCATTGGAAATCTGCTAGATTTTAATGTATTCCCCCTACCGAGGATGAACCCGTTTGTTCAGGGAGGAACCCAGAAGAACCCCTCTCTTTTTTCTTTTATAGAGATTTGGTGACCAAAGTTCGTATCCGCTTTTCCTTTTCTGACTTTCAAATAGATTTACTCAATCATCTACATCTTGTGCCCAGTCAAATACATCCCAATGGCTGGGCATACATCGTTTCTTTTGAGCAGCTATGCATGTCCTTGAAATTACCCTGCTCCGTTTCTCTCTTTCTTTATTTTTTTAAAGTATACAATCCTCGTACCGGGTCAGAAGCTCCTGAATTAAAGGGGTGGTCTAACATCCAGGGTAGAGCTTGCAAGCCTTCCTGAAAATTGTTTTCCGTCTTTAATGACTCCTTTAAGGATTTCAAAGGTTCATTTTTTAAAGTGGTCGCTGAAGTTGGGCAACGACCTTGGTTTCTTTCTGAAGACGGGACAAAAGGGAGATTTTTGTTATACTGGACCCAAGAACATCATCTTCTTGCCTCAAAGTCCTTTAAATTAAAACTCTTCCAAGAGGATAAAGTTACTGTTGATGCTTTACTATACCATATGGATTCACATGGCCATGTGAGCGTTGTTTATCTTGTTTCCCAAGCATTAACAAGCCCCAACAAACCTTCAAGTATGATATCTGGTGTTGAACACTCATATATTATATTTTTGCCTCATTTTTTATCATAACTTTTTCTTTTGTCGTTTTTCAGGTTCACAGATGTCAGAACTGGATTATATCTTTGTCGTTAGGAAGAAAGCCGAAGCTCGTGCTGATTCATCCAAGGCCAAAAAACAAAAAAGTTTCTGATTCTTCTACCTCAGTCTTATATTTAACTATGGGTGATCCTCAAGGAGTGGAATCTGACATCCCAATCTCTGCTCCATCTAGTGCCCCCAGTGGTACTTCCTCCAAGGCAGTAATTACTGTGGACAAAGGAGTTCGTGTGCCACCCTTGCCAACTGGCCTGATAAGGGGTGCTCTTTGGGACACT